CATAGGCGTCAAAATTAAAATTTAAATCTTGCTCGTCGTCGATTAAAACATCTGTGTCGATCTTGTCTTCTTCATGGGTAACCACTATTATTTCTTTGTTTAAAACTCCTCTGTTTTCTTCGCTAGAAATTTCATTGTTACTTTTTTTTGATTTGGAATTTTTTTCTGTTTCGATTTTGGATCTTTTTCTCCTTAATGTTTTAATTTCCATGTTACGTTCATCAATTTCTAAACTTGTAATTTTTTCGCCAGTTACTGCCATAATCTCTGGAATTTCTGTTTGTGTGATGGGCAAACTTCCTGAATTATTTGTTTGTATGTTTTCTGAAGTGACAGTTGATGAAGATTCCGCACTAGAAGAGCCACTTAAGTTTACAAACCTTGGGCTATGTTGAGGTTGCCCATTATGTTTGTAGCGTAGTGTGAATCCATCGACATTTTGATATCTTGGCAACGGGTTAATGTGAGGGTTTTGCCAGTTTTTAATTATAATTATAACGTTTCCTGTCAGTATATCCTCTCCATGTACCTTTACCTTTTAACAGCTAAAAGATTCAAATGTACCTCTACCTGTCGCAAGGTGTTTACTTAAGGTGGTAAGGGCACCTGAACCTCCGCTCAAAAGGATACCAATTGGAATATTTTGTACTAATACATGTATATTGCGTACAAACTTTTGTGTAATCGAAAGAGATACGTTTTTGATGACAATTTCAGTCTCGAGAAACTCGGAAACTTTATCAACGTTATTGACAACAAATTCGAAGTACCGATGATTGTAATGTCTTGTAACGCCCCAGACGTAGCATAGTAATTTTTTTTTTGCAAGCACTTCTAAAAACTCCTTCACGCTACAATTTAGGTCACCATACCGGCATATGAGAACAGAAGATGACGAATTTTGAGTGGTAGGTTTAAAAATACCAAGGTTGACACGTCCGGGTTCTCCGTTGCCATCTGGAGCCACCGCATTAGCATAACTTTTTGCCATTTAATAAAATTATGTAAAAAATCTCAATAAAAGTTGACTTCTGCAATAATAAATCCAAATGAAGATTTAATCGTACCGCTGGTGGTAAAATTTTGCGTTACGTAATTTATTGACGATTTTTAAATTAGATATGTTCGTTAAAATTAAGATATATTAAAATTAAGATATGTAAAATTAAGATATGTTCGTTAAAATTATTGTTAGTCTTCAAAGATGTAAAGTAGGAACTTACTTGCATAATCAGTTATAAGATGTAAAGTAGAAACTTACATGCATAATCAATTATATATACTTGCGGTACAATAATCTTTTTGAACATTTGTAACTTTTTTTTTAATACTTATATGCATCATGCATGTATGCTATATTATAATAAAGCATGCATGAATGATGCATACAAGTACTTTTAGCACTAAGGTCATCACATACTTAATATCATGTTTATTATAACATCAAATTAGCTAACCTGTCAATATTTGTACCTTTTGCATTAACATTAACATAAAATTCTTCCTCAACTGAAAAAAATAAACTATTTTACTATACCGTAAAAATGGTTATTCATTTACTTATTAAAACTTGTTTCTTTTTTTCATACTTAAAATTAGAACAAACTAAATAAAGCTATTATTTTTAAATTTTAATATATTAAATAATATAAATTTATTATATATATATGTGTATATATATATATATATATATATATATATATATATATATATATATATATATATATATATATATATATATATATATATATATATATATATATATATAATATATATATATATATATATATATATATATATATATATATATATATATATTATATCAGGCTTGGTCGGGAAGCGGGACCGATCGCTCTCGATTGCTGACCACGTAAAAAATATCTAGTTGCGAAAAGCTGGCCAAATTTTTGAGTCATTTTGAGGACATTTTAACAAGCAAAAAAAAAAAAGCGCTTAAGATTAATTGGACCGATGAGAGACAATTACTAAAAAAAAATTAGGCAAATAAAATATCTTTAAACGCGAAAAAATTAAAGCTAAATAAATTACGTTTAGAACAAATATTTTTGAAACATCGCTTTTATAATTTTTTTTATAAAATTAAGCGATGTTTTTTATGTAAAGTAACATCTTACGATTGATTAAAAAAGAAACATATTCTTTAATAAACAAAGTTTGCAAGTTTTAGATTTATTTAAGCTAATTTATTTTATAAATGAAAAAGTTAATTTTCGCAATATCTATTTTATGTTTTGCATAGTTTGAAATGTTTAACATATTAGAAGCAATTCTTTTTAGTAAGATTAACAAATGAAATAATTTAATCATTGAATTAGTATAGAAATTAAATTAACAAGATAAAAATCAACTAAAAAGGTTAAAAATATGACGAGGAAGCGAAAATGCTATCACAATATGATGATGTTTAGTGAGTGGGTTTTTTAATTAGTAATTAAAGCAGAAAAAAGTGTAACGAGTTTTTAAGAATGGCAACTGAAGCAAAAATAATTAGAGTTAGTAAACCAATATCTAGAAACTTTTCTTTAGATCTAATTATTTGCTATATATATTTGTGTTCTGTCGTGACCTCAGGCGCGGTGCTTGTTCATCCGCGAGTTACTTTGTATGCGTTGTTTATGTTTAGTAACCAGAAACTTCTTATATGTTTTTTACATGATTAGTTTTATTAACTTTAACAATTATAATTTTATTGAAAACGCAATTATTTTTGTAAGTTTTTGTTTAAATCATAAAAATTGCTTTAAAAGATACAATACGATAAAAAACAGATCAACAAAATTACATTTACATAAAGAATACATACTTTTTGAATAAAAAATAAGAATGTACTAATAAAATCTATAATTTATAATAAACTTTTAAAATTTTGACAATTTAATTAATATATATTTAAAACATTTATTTTTGTAAACAATTAATATATATTCTTAAAACGATTTATACTAGAAATCTGAAAACGTAACAAATCGTGAATAAAATAATTTTTAAAACATGCTCAAAAACTTTATTTCGCTTAGTCAGCGTATTTTTTGAACTAATAGAATTAGTTTGTTCGTTAATTTGGCGGGTTTTTAGTGTTCGCGAATATTCCTTTTATACTTTCACACAACGATGTTTTGAGAACATTCAAGTTTTTTATGTTTCCATGTATGTCTGTAAAACAAAATTCTTAAATAAACTTAAATGTTCTCAAAACGACTGAAAAACCTAGCCAGTTTTTCGCAACTAAATATAATTTCCGTGGTCAGTATTCGAGAACGATCGCTCCCGCCTCCCGACCAAGCCTGAATATATATATATATATATATATATATATATATATATATATATATATATATATATATATATATATATATATATATATATATATATATATATATATATATATATATATATATATATATATATATATATATCCTTCGGGTCGGAGCTACGTCACAAATATCGGAAAATAAGTCTACCATTATGGATTAGGGAAAACAAATAATTTTATCAAGTCGGGAATTTTGAGGAATTATTCATATACATGAATAATCCTCAAAGTTGCTGTGTTTTCTTGTTTCAAATAATAATATTTCACAGAGTTAAATTTTTTAGATACTTCTATATGAAGGTATTAAAAGTTAAAGGTAATAAATCGTGCGCATGTTGACAAATATGGAGTAGTTTAACTAATATCTTCATATGGAACATACTTCTTTAGTATGTAAAATTTCAACTCTGTAAATTGTTATTGTTACTGTTATTATTGTTATTATTAGTATACAGAAAATATTATACTTTGTGATAATTTTGATTTGATAATTACTAGTTATCAAATCAAATTTATAGTCTCCCAAAATAATCATTATATCTGTTCACAACAATATTTTCTGGTGGGTTTTAGTTTTAGTAATTTATCAAAATAGTAAATAAGGAATTTTTGTAATAATTTTTTTTTTTTTAGTTATTAAAAAAATTCGTTAAGTAAAAATAGCAGTAGTATAAGGTAAATAAAGTAATATGGACAAAAACAAATTTAAAAAACAAACATCTTCTTTTAAATATACGGGCTTGACAGATATATCATAATGCTAAAATAGTTACTTAACAAGTTAGGTTTATACAACATAGTTTAATGATTTAAATTTTATACTTTTTCCTCTACACACTAAACATTTATACACACTAGACATTTATACTCTAATACACTCCACAATTATACAACATAGTTTAATGATTGTTAAGTGTATATTTTTTTCACTACACATACTTTATAGTTTTTTGGTCACTAAATAAAAAAAATAAAGAAAAGAACAGATAAAATCTACATAAAAGTTATATAAAAAATATATGAACTATTATATATTGCTGTTAATAATAACAACAATATGTAACAGTTATATAACAGTATATCATAATAATATATTATTATGATATACTGTATTTAATTTGCTTTACTAAATTAAAGTTGTAATTATATTAAAACTATTTAAATACAAGGATTTTATGTTAAATTGTATAAAATTAGCAATTCCTTGATAATTTTAATTTATTTAGATTATAGTAAATATTCTTTTGAAATGTTGGTTTTTGTTTTTTATTTTGACTTTATTTTTTTTATAAATTAAAATCAATATATCACAAGAATTAATATTAAAATTGCATCAAATAATAATTTTTTCACCTAATAATTTTTAGCTTTAACAATAACGATGGAATTATAAAATGATTTCAATGCAAAAAATAAGTCGGAAGGTGAACCAACAGATTTTTTATGCTTCTAAAACTCATAAACTCCTCGAAACAACATTACACCTCATAACTGCACAGTCTTTAATATCATCACTAACTCCAGTTACACAGTTAGAAAGAAAAGGTTTTTGTAAGGAAATGGATAGTTTAAAAGTAATATGTGAAAGACTAAAGTTAGAATTTGGAGATGAGAACATATGTGCTCTATATACAGTTTAGATACTGAAAAAAATTTGTTAGTAATGATGGATTATTTAAGTGAAGATGAAAAAATTATTGTTACAAGTTAGCCTTAAATGATCAAATATATTGTTGACTTTGATAAAATTAAACTAAAACCTACTTTAAAATGCTTGCTTATATATGTAACATCAGTAAGTTAGCAATAAGCTATTTGGAAGTGGGTTGTTATTATGTATTTTAAACTAAAGTTTCCGATAAAAATGCAAGTCAGAACTGATATTTATAAATCATTAACACCTGTTTTCAAGACAAAGTTTCTTACACTAACATGCTTTGAAATCTTTATAGAATCTCATTAACAAGAGCAAAATGTTACAGTCAGTACAAGAAATATATTACAGCATATAGCCAAAAGTAATACTAAAAAAATCACATGTTAAAAATTTATTGGCTGGCCACTTATAGCGATTGCCTCTTAAGGTCCACTTAGTAACTGTTGAGCAAAATCCCATCAACAGTGAAACTATAAAGGTCCACTGCAAATTTACTACCTAAAACTTATTAGAAAGTTTTAAGATTTTAAAGTAAATCATTCAGACATCATCTATGTCTTTTTCATGGAATTCTTTTTAATTTTATCATTGTAGGCTTAGTGTATCAATTGTAGATGCGTATTTTGAACCATAAAAAAGTGTAAACAAATAACTTGCTATAATTGGATACTTTTAAATAATAAGTCTTTTATAAAACATTTTACAATTAAAGTTTTATGTTTTATTTCATTTGTTACATTTTTATATATCTTATGTCTACACTTTTATGTCTTAAAACATTTTTATTTTAATCAGTTTATAAAAAATTTTATCAGTTAAAGAAAAATACATGAATTTTAAATAGAAAAAAATATATACAAACAGGAATAATAAAAGTAGTTTATAGGATGTTTTCTTTTTGTACTTTCAATTTTTATTTTTTGTTTTGGATTTAAAGTAGTTTATTTGTTTCATTTTATTTAAAATATTTTTTCATAATAAACTTAAAAAATAAAATTAACGGTTTTTTTTACAGGGTAAAATGTAATGTAACTTATAAATAAAACAGAATGTAACTTATAAATAAAACAGAAAATCATAAAACTTATTTAAAATAAATACTTTTGAATGATTAGCATTTGTAAATTAATTTGAATAAGTTTAAATTTGCAAAATTAGCTAAACAATCTTGCAAATTAGCTAAACAAATCTTGTTTTTACGGCGCTTTAACAGTTTGTTTTCCCTAATCCATAATGGTAGCTATAAAAATCTAATTTGTCACGTGACCTCCGACTCCAAGAATATATATATATATATATATATATATATATATATATATATATATATATATATATATATATATATATATATTTTAAAATGTATTGTAGAATACATTTTTAAATTGTTTAAATATATATATATATATATATATATATATATATATATATATATATATATATATATATATATATAATATATATATATATATATATATATATATATATATATATATATATATATATATATGTACGTATGTATGTATATATATAAATATATATATATATATATATATATATATATATATATATATATATATATATATATATATATATATATATATATATATATATATATATATATATATATATATATATAGTTTTTTCAAACCTTATATTAAATTGACAGTTTCTTTCATGGCAGTTAACTTATTTTTAAAACAATAAATTTAAAGTTACATTAACCACTTTAGGTTTACTTTTATAAAAATAAAGTTCAGGTAAAAAAATTAAAGTCAGCTTTTTCCACAAAAAGACAACATTAACTATGCTAAAAAAACTTCATGGGTCATTTTTAATAAATAAACCTAAATAAATTAGGCTTATTTTTTTATATTTATAATATTTTGCCAAAGGATCACTTATTTATGATATTTTGCTAGTATGGCTTCTTCAAAAAAAAAAAAAAGCTTCACATTTCCTCACCTATTTCTTACATAAATATCTATCTCCATAAAAAATAATTAGATATCTATGCAGCACTCCCTCATTGTAACAGGCTATAAGATATTTGATGTAGCAGCACTCCTTTGTAGCAGCAGGCTATAAGATAGTGGATGTATGTACTGAAGTCAAAAAGTATTCCTTGTTAAAAAAGTCTTCACTGAGAGAGCTAGTCCCCACACGAGAGTGCAACAAGCATTAAAATAAAATTATTTTGAGCTGCTTAACTGTACCTATACCCTAAAAATTAATACATAACAAATGAATGTGAATCCACATATGGTGGATAACCATTTTAGAAAAAATTCAGTTGATTAAAAATCTTTATTTATATAAAAATTATTTCATTTAAGTGAGAACAAGATTTTTTTTTAGAGCGAATTTGTTACAAAGCATCTGTTATCTATAATAACTTTTTTTTTTACTATTTTTTTATTTTATATACACCAATCTAAAAGTGTTAATAAAAACCAAAAAAGTTGTTTTTAAAATAACGCTGATTGGTAATCTTTATAAATGTCAAGAAAAGTATCAAGTAAAAAGTATATAAAAATATAAGTAAAAAAAAAAATTTTTATTTATATTTTTAAAATTTAAAAATTCTAAATAATTGGTTTTAAAATAAGTAATGTTTGTTGTGAAATAAAAAATAATTAAAAGTTTATGTTATATCTAATTATTTCTCTTTTATTTATGGTGGAGTATGTTAAGATATTTTGATATTTTTTAATGTGTTGAATTACGCATGTAATTCTATAAATTAAAAAAGTTGAATAACATGCATACTGAGGCAAAATAAATAGTTCTTTATCTCTTAAATAGTTTAAGTCTTTGCATTCCTTTGATTTTTAATTAATGAATCAATAGCAACTTTATTCTATTCAAGCTCTGTTACTGACTTTGGCCTCTATTTAAGCTCTGTTACTGATATTGATCTGTTACTGATATTGATTAAGTTCTCTTACTGATATATGCTCTATTTAAGCTCTTTTACTGACTTTGGCCTTTATTTAAGCTTTTGTAATAGTTTTATTTGGTTAAAAAGTTTCTTTAGCTGTTATTTTTATAAACATAAATAAAAGTTTAATAGTTCAGAGTGCTTAATTTTCAAAATACAATTTGTAATCAATATATTAACTCATTTTTATTTGTCTCAAGCTTGTTATTTAATTTTAGTTGTAAATTACTTGATTGAACTTCATGATCTTCCAAATTGTTTTTTGGATGTAAGTAATTCTAATAAAATTATTTACAACTGTGATGGTGGCTTGGCGTTTTCACTTGTAAATGGTGAGTTGGATTATATTGTTTCAAAAGCATATGATAGTTGTAGTAGTACAAGTATTAGTAGTTGTTGTTGATGCTGTTGTTGTTGTTGTAGAATTGATTGTATTTCTGTATTATTCATAGGAAATCCAGGTGTTTTGTTTCAGTCTGCAACAGACGATACAAGATATATTTGTCATCTAGGGTTTGTTCCTCATTTGCTACCCTTGGGTGGTAATGAGCATACCTTTTATATTGTAAGATTTGATGATTCTTATGTTATGATAAAATCAAAAGATTATCCAACAAGGTATCTTTGGCAAGATAATTTATTATTTGTATTTGAAGAAAACAAAGTTGGAACCACACAAATACTGTATAAATTTATTGTATGTGGTAAGTGTTCCTTTTTTTATTTTTTATTTGGATAGTATTTAATTGTTTCTATGCAATAATGTAGTAAAAACTATATAATGGTTAATTTTTTTACTTTGCAATGGTCACTTCCAAGCTATTTCTGGATCTCATTTATCACTAGATTTATTACATTGGTATTTTAGTTCATGGTTTATTTTGATTCATAGACTTTTTTTTTAACAAATTAACTTATGACTGCAGGTAACTAGTATTTAGGTTGGGAAATACTAGTAAGTAGAGAATGAGCAAAGAACAAAAATAAAATTATCAGAAGGCTTGGAAAACTGTAAATAGTGAGTAAAACTTGAGAGATAAAAATCCAAAGCAATGATATTTGATAAAAAATCTAAACAAGATTTTTGAGAAGGAGCTTGAGTTACATTAAATTAATGCCACTTAGCTGAGTCTTATGATATTAAATTGTGGTGAAGTGTTAGCTCACTGGTGTAGCAATTATAGTAAAGTTAGTAAAAAGAGATAGAGGTATAACTTTATGACATTGTGCCGCAAACTTTTTAAACTACTGTAGTTTACAAAATTACTGCAAAACTCAAATCAATATAGTAATGTTGATATGAGCAAATGTTATAGAATGTTTATTTTGCTACATGTTTTTTAAAATAAAAAGATATACACTTTTTCATGACAATAATATGTACCTTCTCCCTGTATTGGTAATACAGGGAGAGGGTACGTATCATACCTCTTATTAATAATTTGTGATGAGTTCATCCAATGATGAAGGTGAAGTCAGTGGTACAGGTGCAGTTTTGAAACCCAGAGAACATTTTAGGTCACAAAACTTTCTTGTTATTGCTGATAGGCTCCTATGGGAGATGAAAAGAAGGAGCTTTGTTATTGAACGTTTTATTGGGTTTATCAGTATATCATATTTTCATTTAATTTCAGTTTCCTGACAGAAGTCAATAGTACATTATATTGTCAGACATTAAATATTTTCGTGCAGATTATCTTGTACACATTGTGATTTGCAAGCTGATTTCACTGATAAGATAATTATGTTGTTTGTAATGCTGAATACAGCGGATACAGACCAAGCAATATCAATGGTAAAAATGTTACAGTATATTATTTCAAAAAACTTAACTGTTGCTTTCCAAAATGTTTATATTGTAGTTCAAATTTATTTGAGCATTTTGGCTACTTCTTGTGAAGGAGAACGTTTTTTCAACAATAAAACATATAAAAAATTGTTCAATGAAGGCAATGGGTCAAGAAAAGCTAACAAATCTTGCTCTTCTCTGCATTGAATACAATTTGATGAAAAAATATAAATATAGATCACATTATCATATGTCTTGCATCTAAGAAGTACAGAAAAATAAACATTTAGATTTCTATATATTCAACACAAAAACTATTATTAATTTGCCATAATAATAGTTTTTGTGTTAAAAATATTATTTATTTTGATAACAAATTTTTTAAATTCATTAAAATAAAAATATTATTTATTTGACAACAAATTTTTTAATTCGTTTGGATATTATTATTGGGTTATTCCACGCCAAACGGTCCAAAATCCGAAATCATCCCCACTCGACCATCTCAGATTTTGATAAAATTTTGTCAGTATGTAGTTAAACGTGTTTCATGAACATTTCCAAAGTTTCAGCTCAAAATGTTTGTTATTTCGGATTTTATAGTACTTTTTGTAAGGACTCCCTAAATTTTAATATCAGTCAGTTGCTAAAATCCAATTTTTGGGGTCTTATATTTTTGCAATGAAAGAGTTATATATCTTAAAAACGTGGATTCTTAGTAAACCGAAGGTGCAGATTGCAAATTATTTATTACAACTTTCATTTCATGTCTAGATTTTAGTTTATGGTTCAACAAATAACGTCACAAATTCAACACTACAAACTTTTGTTGTTTTTTCTTAGGGTCATATCTCCAGAATAAAATGTTTTTCAGTATTGTTATTTTTTCTGAACGTTCTACGTACCAATATGATGTTATGGATAAAAAATCAGCTTTGTTAAAAATAGCCATATTAAGTTATTCTGAGACCAATATGGCGACAAAAGTGAAATACCCTAAAACAACATATATTTGAACCCCTAAAACTTGATGTGGGCAAATTTTTTTTGTTTTTGTAATTGCACCATTCGAAAGAGCTTATTTTATACTTTTAGAAACAATGAAAACCATGTTGGAGAGATTTTTTCTATGAACGAAAACAATTAGGTCAATACATAGATTTTTTAAATTTTCAATTTTCTACTAAAGATGTGGATTTGTCATACTGCATTAAAAATAATGCTTGTTCTACCAAAAATCAAAATATTTTGATATTCAAAAAATTTATTTTTTATATTTGAGTTATTTCAAAAAAATAAACAAATCAACAAAATGTGAAGCACTAAATTTAAAGTGGCGCACAACCGGAAATAAGTAAGCTTTTTGAAAAAATTAAACTCTAAGGTTTTTTTGTAATTTGATTCTATAATCATTTCATTTCTATCATAAATGTTTAGTTTGGTTTTATAAGACTGGTTTAAAACCATTCCATAAAAAAAACTTTATCTCAAAAATAATATGCTAGTGGATCTGCATTTTAGTAGATGATACCAAGAAGTTTATCTTACCCTAAAGACGCCTTTGCAACCGTCAAACATTTACTTTTTTACAAAAGGTGTGTCTGAAAAAGGATTTCAAAAATTAAACAGTTATAAAAATGCTGCAGAGAAATGTATGTAATTGACAATTTAAAATGCTAAAGAAGTTGAGATTGACCATGTCATACGACCGTGCGTTATAATTGATAGAACATGACATAACATCAATTTGTGACACGTGGTCACAATTCAGTGCACATCTTTATGTGATCAGCAGAAAATAATACATCTAGGTATTATTCTTCTAGATCACATTCCGAACTTTTAGAAAATAATACATTTAGGAATTGTGGCTGATTGAGTTTAAGCTTTAAAGTGCACTTCTTTTGACCCTTAAAACTTTCATGCAAAGCTGTAGAAAGTGATGTATTGAGGTTTAAAATGATGGATTTATTAATATTTTATGCATAAATAATTTTGTTTAAAATAAAGTATTGTCTGAAAAATTTTGAACCACAAAAAATGCCACTTTCAAGCTGGCTAAATTATACTTTGTTTAAAATTTAGAAACTTTGTCCGAAATTTTAGCTTAAGTTACCTACGGAAGCGCATTTGCCATAAGACAAATCTAGGCAACTGTTTAGGAGCGCCATTTAAAAAGTGGATCTTGTTCTTTTTTTCGTTGAAAAGTTGTAGTTTTTAGTGTAGAAATATATATTTTTAAATTTTATTACGAACATTAAGGCGACAATTAATCATATGCCTAAGAGCACCATCAATCCAACGTCACAAATGCGGCACTAGTTATAGATGCGTAACCTAGTTAATAGGTAACTTGATTATGCTATGTAGTTTTGGAAACAACACAGATTTTAAAACACATTTTCTGAAAAAACAAAAAAGAAAAACAAGGATTTTTAATGTTTTTAATTTAATGTTAATATAATCTTTATTACCCACTAAAAAAAATTAGTGATGAAAAAAAATAAGTTGCTCGCAACCATAAACAACATGATTCCAATTACATATTTAAAATAGCTTCAAATTTGGAAATAATGTCTGAAACAACAATTAATGGTAAATTGTAATATCGACCTGTTGCAGAACTGATTGGATCTGGAATGACTGCAATGAATAACATGCTGCTCCGGTACCCAACAAGTGTCCTTAGTGCTAGGCCAGTAAAATGACTGAGCCAAACCATGAGGATGCATAAAATCAATGAAAACATCTTTTTGTTCTTCTGAAATTTCACAAACATTTCCAATCCACCAATGTGCATCGTAGATACATGCAACAAAATTTCCGGGACTAAGATGAGACAGTGAAACTAATTTGGTTAAGTTGTTGTTGTAACTTTCATTAATGTTTGCAATAAAAGATGTATTGTCATTTGAAATACGACTTACACAAATCTGATTTTCATTTACTGGTACAAATTTGTGATTATCCCGGGTTCCTGCAATTGTGTTTCCAGTACTAAATCGTTTCTCTTGATTGTCTTTTACACTGTCTACTTCACCACTGGCAACATAAATAAATGAAATACCTGTAACACTTTCCTTGCAAAAATCATATAAATTTAAAGGCGTTAAAATTTGATTATGAATTGGCCGTTGAAGGCTGGCACGTGCTGCTAAACGCTTCACAGTTCCTCCAATTCCATCACAGGGAGATTTTCCATGACTGCTTGCAAAGAAATTCCATTCTGCTCTAATGCCATAGTCAGTATAATGGTAACATAAATTCATAAAATTTTTGAAGTTTTTGTTTTGTGCAGCTGACCCATCACTGAAATAATGAATAAGTTCAAAAGACAAATAAGATTTAAGTTCAGCTATTAGTTTATCAAGAAATACATGAACAGAAATAGTATCATGATGCATGCAATCGCTTATAACACAATAGCATCTATTTTTAAGTATGTCATTAAGTTTGTAATAAACAACAAAAGGATGCAAAGTTGTTTGGCTGTTTTCCCAGTAAAACCCTTGAACAGCATCTTGCACAACAAACGAATAGTTTTCAGAAAAATCCATCAAAATGATCAACTCATTTGAATTCAGTTCATTTTTCAATGATCGCAAATAGTTGTTTTGGTTTTTGGCAATAAAATGATGCTTAGATAAAACTGATACTTTTGAAATTAATTCATCTATGAAGTCCTCTACTGGTAATTGCAAGGATTCTAAAGTTTCACGATCTACTTTTATCCATTGCTTGAATGTTATAGTTTCATCAGATTCAAATTCTTTAAACTGCTCTTCAAGATAAGCCTTTAACATTTCAGTCCCTGGACATTTATTGCAACGATGAAGCATACATTCTTTAGATTCAATGTTACAAACTATTTTTTCAATCAAACATTTATAGTCCACTGTAACTGGGCTACTTGCA